TTCCAAATGGGGCTGCATTTCTACGGTGCTTCGATGCAGGCAAGATCCATTTCTATGTTTCTGCTACGGAGGCCATATTTCACCGATTAAAGCGAGATGAACCTCGTTTCCTCGCTCGGGCTTCCGGTTGTAGCAGAACGAGCCCACCTCGTTTCTCTGTCCCCCTAGCCAAAAACCGTTCCCTTTCTTCCAACATTTCATTGGCACGACGAACACGCAGACTCCAGGTGCTTCAGTCCACTGCTTTCTCTTTTGAGGCATTGTAAGTGACCTCTATCGTAGACCCATTTTGAAGGTGTGCCCGCTGTTGAAAGCGTGCTCTTTGCATTTGATTGCATCTTCGTTGCTGCTTGAGCCCTTGTGCGGCGTGGCGTCAAGATCGAAACTCAATGCCACCTGCTCTTGCTACCTGCACGTTTTGCAGTGTTGGTTGGCAAAAGAAATGCTCTCGCGTTTAATAATCTCCGACTCGCCAATTTGCTCCTTGGCGCAGTGATCGGGTGTCAAGTTTGATCCTGTGGCGAACCTTCAGAATTTAATTTTTTTTTTCTCAATTTATTCCTTTCGTTGCTCTTCAACGCATTCACATTTGTTTCGTAATACAAATCCAGGTTTTTCCGGGGGGCTGCCGAAAAATGTTATCGCATTTAAGAGATATCTGCTGAAGCCTTCGTGATTCAACTTTAAATAAATCGTGCCTCCCTCCTGCCGCAAATAAGGCCCGTAACGGGAGCGACGGAAAACAGACACCTCAAATGGAACTTGGACGAGTTCATTATAAGCACCGTAAAAGCGCATACAAACGCCCCCTCCCAACATATTGCCCGTTTTCTATTCCGGGAAAATATTCATAGGTTAAAAATTCTGAAGCATCGCCCATCCCCGGTTCCCACCGAGCATCGCACAGACGCCCAGCAGAAATCACATCAACCATGCAATCTGTGGTATCGGCACGTGTGACAGGCGATTCGTAGGGGCTTCTTTCGTGTTCATTGCGCCATTAAACCCGAGTTTGACGTGTCTGTGATCGGTGCTCACGATATTGATTTCCGTGACACACGAGTTTGTAGTGGGTTCCTGCATGCTTATCGCACCATAGAACGCAAATCTGCCGAATCTCCAATCTGCGGTGGCATCGGTTCCTGCGTCGTGCAGTTGATAGCGTGTGCTGTTGTGTTTATCGCTTATTTTTTTATTTAATTTTGCCGTCTTCTCCCCCAAAATTGCACATCCAATATTAATGTGATAGCATTATTAATCTACTACTAAAGATTTTCAGCTATGTATATTCTAGCCACTTAAACGGGTTGGGAAACAAAAGTCCAGCGCTCATTTTCTAGCTTGAATGTGTTGCGTGTTGCACCCTAACCTCAAAAATACCAGTCTTCCGTTGAAAGGCACAAGAAAACTAATTTTAAAGCTAAATAAACTATCTTTCAATGCGCACCTGGTGGATGCATGCGGAGCCTATTTGGGAGGTAGTCTAGCAACGTTGTGGGATCTGCTACGTAGTCGTGACGTAGCAGATTCCTTCGGAGCAGCGCCGCTCTTTGGCATTTCAACATTTTTCCTCTTAGCTTTCCTCCTCAACTCACAAGTTGCGCATTGTACCAAACGGTCCAAGAAGACTGAAAGGAAGGACTCCCTTCTTTTTCGGACCCTCGTTCGTGCAACCGGAAACGGCCATTCTCCCCCTGGAAGATTAGCCCGTCCCTCAAAACTCAAACAAAAGTTGCTTTCCCTGCCCCGTTCAGCCCTAAGCTGACAGTGTTGTGGAAGCTACGTGCTCCTTGGGCCAGCCACAGGCTCGTCACCCCACGGGTACTTTGAACGGCTCGGTTGTAACGCGCCGACGCTATTGACACCACCACAACGCTGACATTGCCGCCAAGGGCAAAGCTCATAACCACGCCTGCCTTGCTACTCCACGAACGCAGGAAATCTTTTCTGTTTTTGTTTGCGCCGGACATCCCATGACGCATCGCGCTCTCCGTTCGCTTCTCTTCGAGCGCTTGCTCGAGTGCACCGTTTGGAACGAAAAATAGAGCCAGTCGTTCAAAATACAGACGTGCGATTATCATTTACGGTTATTATCCGTCATGCCTGACCCACTCCCAACGAAATTTGAATATTTCAATCTTTGTTTCCATACCCCTTTAATGTGCAGTAGACTATTTTAGCTCGCTGTGCTTGCACCCCATTGCGTTGTGCGTATGCGAAGTGGTAGTATTCCTTCACAATTGCATCCTCTTCGAAGGACCCGGCGGCTTTGACGTTGGCCTTGAGGTCGTCCTTGAGATCACCCTAGATGTTGTCCTAGACATAGTCTTTGACGTTGTCCTTGAGGTCTTCTTAGAGGTCGTCCTAAAGGTTGTCCTTGAGTTCATCTTGGGGGCCGTTCTATATGTCGTCTTTGACGTCCTCTAGATCATCGTCCTAGATGACATCAAGGACAGCATCTAGGACAACGTCCCAGAGGACAATGTAAACGACAACCCCTAGGGTAGTCCCCAGAACAAGGATTTAGCGTCGTCCTAGAAGACGCTAAATTTAGCCGAAAAATTGATGCCACGACCTGTGCACCAGTTCAGTTTTCCCGCTAAATTTGGCGGTGTGCAACGATAAATGCTATCACATTCATAGATAATCACCCTCGTGGTTTCTACAAAATTGCCTCGACCATCAATTTGCTGCCCTGTAATTTCTTGCATTTTTTCTCTTCACCATGGGTGAAGAGAGAATCGTACAGGATTTTATGGCTATGCTAAATTGCCAAAAGAATAGTACGCTCCAGGTCTCTCAAGAGCTATGGAAGAACCGAGGCTACGGGTGCGAAAAGCTTGGCTCGTGGCACCGCACTTATTGTTCGTCCACTTGCCCGCTTCCTATGCCCACAGGTCCGCTCCACCAGGGCCGTAACCAGGGGGGGGGGGGGTTAGGGGGTTCTGACCCCCCCCCGAAATTTTTTTCTGGGTACGGCCCTGGTCGGTGCACTTGCAGCCAGCCGATTTTAATCTCCACCTCTGCGCACGCGCAGTGGCGCCGGTCGGCTACCAGATACCAAACCGGGACCGGTTCTCCGGTTTGCTGCAACTCTCCATTATATGCCACCGATGCACATGATTCGTAGGCGAAAATAAGACAATAGACACTTTCAAAATGGCCGCCGTTGTCCGAAACCCCCCCCCCCCCCCCCCCCCCGAAATTTTTTTCTGGGTACGGCCCTGCGCTCCACTACCCACAGATATGCTCCATTTCGCGTAAAGTCCGACCACAGCCAATTCTATGATCTGACGGATTGTAGTGTTGGCTGCGGCCCATCGGATGCTCGTTAAAAATTCAGTTAAAAGACTATCGTGCACAGAGATTGCACAGTGATCCTGCACATTTTTTTTGTGCTCAACCGGTTGAGCCGGCGATAGCAAAGCACGACGACGACGAGCACCCGCGAGGATAGACTCTTGGCCCCACTCGATTGGCTCCACCTGATCGCAGCACTAGCTAAGCTCGGGCTTAAAACGGAGTATGGCATGAATCACTTCACCGAGTCGCCTGCTTGCTCTGGAAAGGCGCCGCTTCGGAGGCTGGTTCGGGCATTTGAGTGCGAGTGACCGCGTTACGACTGCTTCCGACCAGATGGTTGTTGCGGCGAGGGAGGTCTGCATCACGCGTTGTAGTGGAATGCGAGGAGTTGTAATGCAGTTGATTATGCTCAGATGCAAGTGTCCGAGTCGGCTTTGCATCGCATGCTTTCGGATCATAGAAAGTTAGAGGGTTTTGGTAGATTGTTTCGATAACGACATGACGCACGCGCAAAGGCATCTGCGGAGTCCCAGGTGTCGTCGTCCGAGTCGTCGGGACGAATTACTAAAACTACCCCAAGGCACGGGACGTTAGATCTTCCTGTAACATAAAACGCCGAGCGATCCAGTGTCTATCGACCTTTTGCAGTGCCGACGTGCACGCGAACGTTGCATCTTGTGCATCATTGCAGTGCTCCATTCCGTACCACCTCGTAAGCCCCGACATCCTGTCCTTGCCTTGTCGAAAAATGGGCACCCCCCCCAAACTCCCTTGTCGTGGGAACACCCATTAACATCGCATAGGGCACTGATGGTTGCAATAAGTTGAATAATTAACTAACATCCGTTAATTAACTTTTTAATTAGTTAAGTAAACATGGTTCCATTTAGAAACTGGCCGAGCATCTTCAAAAACCTCTGAATATCAAAACTGGTACCAGGCTGCCGGTGCGAAAATGCAATGACACCACTTGCACAAGCGCGAGGCTTGGCGGTGCAAAAATATGAATGATAAAGGTGCATAAAGTTACCATACAAACAAGCGTGGGGCTCGTAATGCAAAAATGCACAAGATAAAGATGCAGATGATGGTGTATAAAGTTACACTTAGAACAGGCACAATCCTGGCAGTGCAAAAATGCAGATGACACCACTACACATTTATCGTCCTTGTTTCCGCACCGCTAGCGTCGAGCAAGTGCACCACCACACCTCCCAAATTTACTGATCTTGTGGTTTGCGATAACGCTCGGCAGGTTTCTACTTGGAGCCATGTTAATTCTCACTAATGAAAAAGCTAATTAACAGATCTTAGTTCGCTATCTGACTTGACGATTATGTCTAGAAGGCTGGCACATGTATCCAAGCTTCTTTGGAAACGTGAGACATCGCATAGTGAGGGGTCAAATGAATTATACCCGTTTTCCACAAAGAGCAGAAGTCAGTAGTGCACACTACGACAGTAACTTGCCACAAAGCGGCTGGACAGTTAATATTTGGTGCTGTTAAGATATCTGTGTTTTGTTGTTTTACATTAGATTCAGTAGTTCTTTTACATTGCCATGCTTGTTTCTTCTGCTTTCAACTATAATGTGCTCACTAACAAGGTCAAGAGTGAGTGGACAAACTAAAAACAGCAATCAAATGGCACTTCTCCCCCCCCCCCCCCCCCCCTTCAAAAAATGGATGCTCCAGGTGAATAACAGACATCATTTTATTGTTCTGCGTCAACAACCAATCGTGTTCTCGGTTCCCCCAATCCATTTTCAGACAGCAACTTTTGTGGCCTCCACACACTGCAATGACCCACCAACATTTGTAAACCATCAAGTCACAGCACATTATTGTTTCCCTAATAAAAACCACTACTGCAAACAAATAATTCCAATCGGCACATTTGAACAATAGTTCAAGAAAAGAAGTTTAAGCGTACATAATTTACTGATTTCCCCGATCGATACGATCATAAGTTTATCGTCAGTTGCCTGCCGGCCAACACAGGCATTGAGTCTTTGCGAGTGCTTCGGTGTCGCATGGACTTTGGTTGTGCTAGCGGAGTCGAAGTAATATCAAAGTTGGTGATTTAAATATTTTTGGAAGAAGAGAGCTCACTCAGCGTTTTACAGTATTTCACAGGAACTAAGATGAAGTCAAAAAGAAACTTCAGTCACTGTGTATGTTAAAATGGGCAACATCAATGATGCAGCCTTAAAAAGTGTGCAAAGAACACGTGTTTGTACACTGCTGCAGAAATTGTGCGCAGCTGTTCGCAGACTGCACGAAACTTATGCACAAACAACTTGTGGCACACAACTGCACAGGTTGTGCACATATTTCTTCACACAAATCAGTAAAAAAAAAAAAAAGCACGAAAACTTGTAATTAGTTTTATGACAACTTTTACATAAAAATAGGAAACCAGCTAAAAAAATGTCTGGTGCTTGGTTACAAATGTGTGGCTGCAAAAAATAAATGCGCAAAAATAGCAAACAAAAACAAAATTTTTTCTTGGTAAACACTTCTGCTGAAAAGCAGAACCCTCGTTCAGCTGTGGGTTCATTTGTCAGTAATGGAAAACTTTTTAAACCTACTGTCACAGTTCATGTTTTGGCCACTTGGGAGTTGATTGACTTTAATGCAGTTGCAAATAAACGGCTGTGCCCATTCTGACAGCTTTGTGTAGTTGCCGTTACACGGCCATTGCAGCTCCATGCTTGACCACGGAGCTCTAACGGCCATGGGGTTGTATAGAGACTGCCGTTTATTTGCAACCATAACATAGTTTAACAGCACCTGGTAGCGAAGCTGTGAAGCCGATATCCTGAAGCTTACAGAGTGGGCAATAAAACCACCGAATTCAATAAGAAAAATAAAACAAATGCAGTCTCTTTGGTGGTTACAGCACGGCAGACTCGATCGGCAAGCCCCCAAAACTGCCACAAAAGTTGTCTGAAACGTTCGTGAGGAAAGTCAAGGTTGTAGTGGCTCCTGATCAGGACGGCCATTTCTCCTCTTGCTGTGGCTGGGCTTGGCTTCCGCTTCCATTACAGTGTGATGGCCATCTGGAATCCTGGTGCCCAAAGCATCTTCAAAGAAGTCCCTTAAAAAAAACAAAAAAAAAACTTGCTACATAACCCAGGGAAAATTTACATCTCCCAGAGTGAATAACACTGCAAAACACAGAAATTGTGAAACATAAAGCACAGAATTGTTTGGTGCTTATTTGTTCAATTTGTACATGTACATTTGAAAAGGAGTGGCAGTACCTCGTAGGACGGGTTTGTTGGTGAAGACTGTGACAGCACAACCGGCGGGACATGGATTCCAGGCGTGGCACTGGAGCCGATGCACCAGATCCCTCGATGCCTTCCAGCTGGACATTGATAAGACCCATCACCACAAGGATGCATCACCACTGGAACCCATCACCACTAGAACCCATCACCACAAGAAATTATCAGCTCAGGGACAGACACAAGGACCTGCACCACAAGAACCCATCCCCACAAGGACCCATTCCCACAAGGGCCTGTCACCACAACCCCGTCACAACAAGCACCCATCACCACAAGAAACCATCACCATTACCACAAGGGCCCATCAGCAAAGTTAATGAGCAGATATTGGTTAATTACATAGTCTACTGATTATGACGGTTATCCTCTCATCTAATGTCCTAATGTCTGCCAACCCTGTCCGATACAAGTGCAATCAAAACGACATCCGTACACCGGTCCCTTTTAAAAAAAAAAGAAAATGAATTTAAGTATACACCATGGCATACATTGCAGTGATGTGGAATATATACTAGAGTGTGGCCCTGCATGTCGCAGTAGGGACAAAAAAGATATAAATGTAGTAGGTACGAATGGTCGCCAAGTCTTATTCGTCAATCTTGCAATTCTATATGCACGAGACGTTCAATTCATTATTTCTCCAACTGGAACCCGCTTCGGTACTCCCAATTCCTGAAATGACCACTGATCTATATGACAATTGCTGGATCGCACATCCTTGCTTGTTCGCTGCAGCGCAACTGCGGCCACCGGGTGGCCATCTTGCATGCCGTTTCTTTTTCGTTCGTCATCAGTCGCCGAAGACTTTCTTTAAGATCCTGGGTGAGGCGTGATACTTGCCGTTGAGAACACGTGCAAATTTTTACGAAAGCGCAGTGCCGCAGGAAAAAGGCGCAACTCGCCGAAAGCAAGTTTTGCTGGTCTGGCGGCGTGTTCACAGCTTCCTTGGCACGCCGAAGTGCTGAGTCTCTGTGTTTTCGCACGCTTGGATACCGATCAATAATCGACACCGTGTGAATGTGTTTTGCGAGTGCAATGTGCGTGAAGCCATATGTGCCTCTGGATCAGTGTCTTACTTTACTCTGACGACTGTATACTTGCGGCACTTGTGGTCCAGAAACGAGCTTAATCCAGCGTCCAGTAGCGACGGAAGAGGGGGGGAAGGTACGTCTTTTTTTCGTCGTTAGTCCGACCACAACCAATGCCACGATCTGACGGATCGACGCGTTGGCTGCGGCCCATCGGATGCTCGTTAAAAATTCAGTTAAAAGCCAATCGTGCACAAAGATTGCACCGTGATCCTGCACATTTTTTGCACTCAACCGGTTGAGCCGGCGATAGCAAAGCACAATGACAATGAGCGCTTTACGACATCTACACCCTCCCCCTTTTGTTTGATTTTTAAGTTGTTTCTGATTAATTCTGAATCTCATTGTACACCATTAACAACAGCTCCTCATCACTGATCAGTGTTGGCTCATTATTAACCCGCTTAATTGCACTTGACGTTTGAACGCGGCTCGCCTAATTGTGATTACCGTAGTCAACAGATTGTACATGACGCCACGCTTCAAAGATTTTCATTCTCACCGTCTTGTATTTTTGCCTTCGAAAACCCTCCTTGCTCCACAGCATTGCTTTATTCGTGCTCCCACGGAATCTATTAGAGTAGATTTGGGACATAGCCATGGTTAATATAGTACATAAGAACATGTACAGATCTCCCCCTTTTATTGATAGCAACTCACCGGAACAGCTGGACGATCCAGAACTCTGTGGCCAATACATATATACATGATCTAAAAACATCTACGCGCGACACATCTTCAGAACTTTGGTGCGGCGTGAATTCTTGATCGATATCCAAGCGTGCAAAGGCACAAAGATGCAGCACTCGAAGTGCCAAGGAAGCTTAGATCACGCCGCGAGACCGGCGACAGGCGACGCTTACTTTCAATGAGTAGTACCTTTACATACAACTTCACGCACATTGCACTCGCAAAACACATTCACACGGTGTCAATTCTTGGTCGGAGACACAGCACTTCAGCGTGCCAAGGAAGCTTTGAACACGGGGCGAGACTGGCGAAACTTGCTTTCGACGAGCTGTGTCTTTTTTCTGCAGCATTGTGCTTTTGTAAAATTTCCACATGTTCTCAACGGCAATTATCGTGCCTCACACAGGATCTTAAAGAACGTCTTCAGCGAATGATGACGAACAAGTAGAAAATGTGCCTTTAGCACATTGCCGCCGACCTCTGCAACGCTAGCAAAAAAAACAAAAAAACGGCATGCAAGATGGCCGTCCGGTGGCCGCATTCGCGGAGCGGGGATGCGCGATCCAGCAATTGTCATTGAGGTCAGTGGAAATGACCTGAAACTTTGCCTGGATATATACATGGTGGCAAAAAGGGGCCCAAGATCCACCGGACAGTCAGGATCCCACTTACCCTTCTGAGTCGTCAAACGGCCGCAGCAGCTTCTGAAGTGGCCGCACCTTTGCCACCCAGTATCGTCCTGTGAGCAACCGGGGATATGAATGCAGTCAGAGTCGATACCGAAAAGAGTGGAATAAGGTTATTAATTTTTATCCACATTAAAGAGGCAATGAACCTCTAAGCTTCCCAAAAACATTTACATAAAAAAAGTCCTTCAGCAAAAAGCAAAACAAATACAGTCACCGACCGATTTTTTGGATTCCGATAATTTGGACTTGTTAAATATTTCGGACCTAAAGGTGACCTATCCAATAGAAAATGTGCATATTCACGACTGATGTTTCAGACAGTTTGAAGTGTGAAAGTTAGATTTTTCGGATAAAATTGTCCCGAGCTATCGGAGGGGGGGACATGCCACTGAGAGGCCGCCATTTTAGATTCTATGTTGGCTGCACGTGGATTGGCCCGGTTCGACAGCGCTACTCGAGTACTGCTAAGTCCCACCGCTAAATGACGCTATGCTACAGCTTTTTTTTTTCTCTAGCTGCACGGCATTATCATTCACTGTTACCATTTTTCTTCGTTTATTCGCCATTCTGCACATCTGCAGTCGTAGAAATGCGCCTCTCATCTTGTCTCAGTGAATTGCGTTTTGCTAAGAAGCGCAGAAAGAACTTGACCATAACACTAGAAAAGAAGGCAGCGATTCTCAAGCTAATAGAAAGTGGCCAAATGCAAGTGGAGGCGTAACCTGAAGCAAAGCACTATTCATAGTTTTTTTTTAAGCCCGCTTAGACGTAATAAAGGCAAGTTTTTTAATCTGCTGATTTTTCGGGCTGTTCTATTATTCAGATGTTTTTTCGGTTCCTGCAAAGCCTGAAAAATCAGTCAGCGACTTGGCATCATTATTTATGTTATGAGACTCATTTCGTGTTTGAAGCAATTCCAAAACATGCTTGCATTTCGAGATGTCAACCCCAAAATAGAAGCATGTTTTGGCAACGCTCAAATGAGTCTCGTGTTGTGCTTAAAACGTTTCTTTTCAGGGGAAGTTTATTTTTTAACATACCGTCTTATCTAAATACTACAAAAAAAAATTTGTGTGTGTCTTTTTAACATGTTGAACACATAAGCAAAACGTGGCCGGAATCGGGTCGTTTTGAAGCGATAGCTTTACGGGCGCCACATTGCAGAGGTTTCGACCCAGTCTCCTGTCATCGCCGCTACAGAAAACCCTTCCGTACGCTTTTGGTGCAAGTCCAGAAAGGCATCCCGTCGGCCACTCCGGCATCCCGCGAGTAAAGACACAACGAAAGAAGAGTCTTCTGTGTCGTCTGCTTGAAAAACTTGTTCCAAACATTACTTGCATTTCACGAAATCCCACTTTGGCAGCGTCTAGTTGCTACACATAATGTTAGATAGTTTTAGAAGATTCCACCGTGCTTACCCACTTACTTCACGGATCACTGGTGGCAGTCGTCAGTGACATCCATGACGGCTATGAGAATCAACCACGTCGCACCTCTGTCCTCAGGTATGTGACGGCACCATTCCACCCACGTTACACGACCGTGCTACAGCTATTGCTTTTGTTTTTTCACACATTGTGGGTGAAAAATGTGACCTTTTCTATGTTCACACTCACATATTTACAGCATCGAATCTAGTGCTTCAATTTTCGTCCGACTTTAAGGAACAAATGTACGTCCATGCCACCCTTAGATCACGCCATTTTTCTTTTCTTCATGATATCCTACCTCGTTCTAAATGTGGTTTCCACCTTCGAATGAAAAAAGTAGAGAACATTTAATATCAAATGTGGGTGCCACAAATGCTGCACGTAACAATGTCACCCAGAATAGAAAAAGCTTAGGATTGGGTGTATTAGAATATTCTGGAGCTACAACAGAGGCATAGTACCCGTGCAGCTACATTATTCTACGATAATTACTCTAAAAAGTAGTGCCATCCCTACGTTTCATGGTGTCTAAAACACATCCTCCCTAAAGCAATGACATTAGTGATTAAACAAATCTACAATGCCCATGCACTGTAAAATAGGACATACTCAAATACTACTGTAATATTTTTCTGCAGTCAGTGTCACAGTGTAATTAACAATCTATCTAAAAAAACGTCTATACTAAAACCTAAGACAAGGCAAAAAAACAAAAAAATTGCCGTCTCAAACTCCGCAACTAACTTATTTCGCAAAATCGTCTTTATACGCTTCACATGCCTGCAAACTTTAAAAGAAGCCTTAAAAACCACCTGCAGTGAAATACCCTTTGATGACATCTACACCCTCCCCCTTTTTGTCTGATTTTTAAGTTGTTTCTGACTAAATTTTAATCTCATTGTACACCATTAACAAGGCATCAGCTGTTCATGAGCATAGAAAATGAATGAATGAATTAATTCCTGCGACCATATAGACCTTAGGAGGGGAAGCAAAAAAAAACATTTAAGCAGGATTTTTACTGGTTGCAGCGGTATTACCTCTGGTGATAATAGTGTATACGTGCAAACAGTACAAAACGGGGCGCACAAAAGCGCCAAAAATTCGCATGTGGTGCCGTCGAGACACTGCTGAGATGCCAAAAGCGAGTTCCCGCTTGCATTGCTGGCGGTGTATGTACCATATTTTTCGGTCTATAAGTCACACCTCTGTACAAATCACACCTATCTAGTTGTACGGTCGGTGCGGCAGAACAGCATTGAAAAGCTCGCGTATCTGTGTTATGATCGCAATACATGCGCAAGCGAGAGCTGGTCCCAACCATCTCGTCAATGAATCAAACGAGAGATAAAATTCCCGTGGCAAATTTCCGCATTTAAGGTCCATCCTTATAGGAAAATTTGAATATAAGTTGGTATGACTTATATGCAAATTTTTCCATGGGGATTTTATTTTGCGTTTAATTCATCAACAAGGATTTGTATAAAATGCACCAAAGGAAATCTTGAAAAAAAAAAAATTACCACGATTTTTACACTGGAAAATATGGTACTGGTGGGGAGCAGAAGAGTGATGTAGATTTTTTTTTTTTTTCTTTTTTCAGAACACAGTTTTTAGGCGCTTGTTTCCGGCATGAGCGGCGTCGCCGTCACTGTAATTGCGCAGTGCATTATGAGAAATGTCCCATAATGCACCGCGCGGGACTCTCGTCACGTCAATCGTGACGTCACGAGGGTCCTGCGTGGCGTATTATGGGACATTTCCCATGATACACCCTGCGGGGAGGAGGAGGAGGGTAGGGGGAGAAGGAGGGGAGGACAGGGTGGAGGAGGGGGAGGAGTAGGAAGAAAAAGGGGAGGGGGAGAAAAGGAAGGGGGTGGAGGAGGGAAGGAGCCTGAAGGATGAGGGGAAGAGGAGGAAGAGGTGGAGAAGAGGAGTAGCAGGAAGGATGAGGTGAGGAGGAGGGAGGAGGGGTATACCCTCCCCTCAGTATTCTTGCCTCCTCCTCCTCAAGAGCTGCGCTCTAATTTGGCGTTCCAGGGTGTTGTAAACATCTTTCCTTTTTTAAAGTCTGTGTAACACACAAAATAGGGTTTCATGTTTTCGGTGTATGCCAATAAATCTTGAAAAATCCCCAGGGCCAGTTCTGTCGAAATCGAGAAAAACTGAAAAACCCATAAGTAGACCTGTCGTTGAAACACAAAAACCCTAGATTAACAGGAAGAAAATCTTTAACTAAATGCTTTCTTTTGTGTTGCCCCCAACACAGCATGCAGTGAAGTGTCTGCAAGGCTGCTTTTTCCTTCTGGAAGCACATTCCTGTTTCCTTACTCTTATCTGTAGCGGGGCATTTTATAAGAACATTCAGGTCACACATATGCTCCCTGAAAGTTGAGAAACCCCATGCTCGTGTCCAGTTTTCATGTTATGCCCCAATCAATGCCAATTTTTTGCCCGACACTGGAAATGGACACAGAAAAGCATGGAAAGAGAAAGTTTGAGAGAAGGGAGGATTGTGGCTTTGTTTTTGTACGTAAGGTTAATCAGTAGAGTTATTTTTCCTTCATAAAGTTAACTTTTGTCTCAATTTTCGCTTTAGCAGACATTTGATCTGTTCTGATAATCGTTGACCGGGCAATATTTCAATTTCCCCTTTTTACAACAGTGCCGCCACTCTGTATCTCGAGATCTGTGAAGTGGCCTCTGTGTGTGCCTGTTAAGTAATACGCTCTTTTACTAACTAATTTTCGTCTCAATGCTCCATATTATATTTGGCTTCAATCTCAATGTGGTGCACCAATCCAACGACCGATGAGGTAGTTTTTGGGCGCTCTAAATAAATATGATTATTATTATTATAGCCGACCCCCGCAGTGGCCAATGTGACTAAACGCGCAAACAAATAAATAAATGCTACCGTACAAAAAGGTACTGCCCCCCCCCCCCCCCCCCGCAGGTTGTACACACCTGTGTCAATGTTCCACTGGAAGAGGACACTCGCTCGATACAGGGTCCTGCTGCTGCCTTGCTGCGGCCTGTAGAAGCAAGCACGGCCTCGTGAGATTGCACGATTAACCTTAGGTGCAACCTGGAAATGTCTACTCTTCGGTAACTACTTATTCAATCGGAATGAAATTTTCAGGTCAGGCTGGCAATCATGTGAAAGAGCCGCATGCATCCTTAAAATGTGGCCCCTCAGTATCCGCCCCATGACGTCGCTGGAGCGCTACTTTTTGCCGGGACTTCCATACTTTGTTTCGGCTAAAGTCCTGATGCAACGGACGCTACGAGCTAGTGGGACCGATCAAGCAGTGTCAAAAGCGCAAGTCACTAAACTTTGTCTGTTGGTGATTGGTTCGGCGACGATAGAACACTTACACAAACACGACGATGCCCTTTTGAAGCCGTCCGATTAGTCTCGTCGGCTCGTGGTGTCGGCTGCGTCTGGACTTAAGGTGAAACAAAGTATCGCTACTTCCGACAACATGCCGCTCTGGACTCTGTAACTTCATTCGTTGCCGCCTCGGGACCACTTTTGATGCAAGGGCGGGACGGGATGCTGAACGCACCAAACGAAGATGCGTTCCGGGTGTCTTAGTACAACCGAGGAACCGCATTTCTTGCCGCAGTCGGATTTGGAGACTTACCCGGTGGCCTCACGGCTTGACTCGGCGGCTTGGACCAGCAGGGAGAGCAGGATTGTGGTTGTGCCGTTCTCGGGACAGAGCTGCAGCAAACGAAGAGAATCGGTCAGCAATAGCACTCAAACCGTACCTCCAGCAGCACAAAGCTGTCGACTTGCCCGGGGTCGTCGACGTGTCATTTGCACAGAATACATTTAGAGTCGACGTTACTAGATTAAAGTTCATTGACAAGCTTCCTACAATGCCCGATGCCTTTTTGTGGCACGTCTGCTCGGCAACGCTCGCTACGCTATCAGCCCAGCCAGAAGCGACTGAACCGGTGGAACGCTGGATGCACATTGCCTGCGGCGGGAAGTGATTCTATTGAGCTTTTTTTATAGTGAACAAAGTTTGTGCAGAATGAGCATCATTCGAAAACAGTCTTTCTCTGTTGACCATGGGATGGGTGCCGCTAGGATCACTTTCCACCCATACCTGCTCGCCAGCAGACCACCGAGAAAAACAATTTCTGAACAACACTCTTTGATAGAGCTTGTCAACTGACAGATGTAAGAACATTATTTAGGGCTATGGTTTAATAAAAAAAAAAGGCCAAACTTAAACATATAATTTCTCCGCTAAACATAGTGAGATAACCTAAATTTATGTATGAATATACGCCCATTCGATTTCCCTTCTAGATTAGACGGGAAAATGCTTTCGCCTCGAAAAAAGATGAAACGACAAAAAGACGCCATAAATATCTGCTTAACTCGTGAGAAAAAAAATCTAAACAGAAATGATAATTGAAAATGTAACGAGCCGAAAAAAATTCTACTTCGCATTTTGTGCACGTCAGCATTATCATAGAGATCGAGCATTTTAAATTTTTTCACACGATTCGGTGTGGTGAGTTTGCACTCGGGCGACTAAGATAATGTCGTCATTTGCCGGAATATATTTTGTGTGGGCACGACATCACCACGTTTCCATGTGGTGATGTCAGATGATGCAGATGTGCAAATCATCAGCGTAGAATCAAACGGCAGCAATACCATCATTGGTGCCTACACCAGTAAGAACTCCATGGTACATGTGAGACATTAGAATTAAAATTGAACTATATGCTGAGCCATCGGCTGGATCTATGGCACCTTCTGCATTTTTCAGACTACAGTCTGCGGGCTATACATGTTTCAAAATATTTTATTTTATGTGGTACAGACTACTTACAGGTGCAGACTGTGCAAGGGTTTGTATTTTCAAGATTGTCTGTTGTGACAAGATTATGTTGATGGTAATTTCTGTAAAATACAAGAGCGCTAATAAAGCAGGCATTCTACATGGACACCATGCACCAGGTAGAGACTGTAAACCGCAATGGGCTATGCACCCATTACAAAATGTCTAAGACACTTTTTTTTTTTTTTCAGAGGAAATTTATTGTTCCAGATTACAGTCCAGATAGTATTCTTTCCCCCAACAATCCATAAAAATGTTTAACTATGTTTCTCCAAAAATACTAAAACGTAAAATCTTGTTACGACCAAGAATGTTTAGAATGTTTTTGCTTTGTGAAAGTGAAGCGAGTGACTTTTCATTTAAGGTCATTTGAGATAGAAGTCAGTCACCTGCCGACAATGCTCAAAAGTGGCATCGGTAACTTAATTTATAATGCCCCAAATCCCGTTTTGTTAATTAACTAACAGACTGGCAATTAAGATTAATTAACAAGATCACCCATACCGTTTTACTGGCTAAGCATCCGTAGAGTTCAAGATGATGAAACATTGTCCACCCATCTGATTCATGCAATGTCTTACAAAAATCCCTTCAGATACAACATTCTTGGTCAAAAAAGAGGACTGTGGGTTATAATCTGGGTAGATTAGTGAGAATTCCCTCTAGTATGCCATGCATAAAATGAGGTCACTTAATTTTTTTGCAATCACAGCTGCGATAAAAATGAGCCAAACAAAGAATTACTACAAGCCAGTTCCCAATATAGTTTTAACCATGTGATATGTTAGTGCATGTTTAAATGAGAAGACAAAGAATTTAGAAAACTGGTAAACGTTTTAGGACACTTTCCGTGGTTCGTTTATCAACTTAGTTTTTTCTCTCATTCCCTGCCTGCCACATATGGCGATATGTGCCAATTGGTCCGCATTACTTTGTAGCACCTTGGAGCAGTTAAATGTCCATTTTGGAGCAACAGAGATAATGTTTTGCAGACAAGCACACTGCTTTTTATTCATACTAGTGCTGCAAATATTACGTCAAGATTCACGTGCCTTTCCACTTATGTGCAACCTCTCGCTAGCATCATGTGCGAAGTAGGTTTGATTCCCTGAAATGCAGAACTAGCTGTTCGGTTGCACATTGAAGCACCAGGCACGACAACAAGATACTGACCGATGGAGGACAGCGTGAACTGCTGTGAGTGGTTATTTTAGGTATGAAATCAAAGGTATGAAATTTTAGGTATGGAACCAAATCTAACAGAATATTCCACCAAAATAATTTTAGAGTAGAATAGTTTTGAGTACCTAAGATGATATTCCATTCAAGCGCTAAAGGTTCTATTAAAACTGCAGGTTTTAATTCAGTTAAAAACAAAGCTTATGTCATTGGATTATGAACATCAATGACATTTTATGGTGAAACTTCATAATAAACAAATTGGCACATGAATGGGGTGCAACAATTTTCAAGCTTTTGCCAATTAACTGCGGAAATCATTCTGCATCACCTATGGCACGAAGAACAGAAAACAGTGCCTTCTTGCATGCGCTAATTTTTATTTAAAAAAATGAAACAACTCGAAGGTCAAAGTGCCTCTCAACTCCCATGTCTTCCTTCGATTGACGTACTCTGGGAGACCACCTAATCGTGATAGCCGCGTTTTCAAAGATTAGCATCGGAGAGTGATCAACACAAAAGAGGGTTTGTCAAGGGGCTGACAGTGAGTTTTTTCTTTTGCAATTACGCAACAAAATAGCTTTTTTTTTTCTTTTTTTTTGGGGGGGGGGGGGGGGGGGGCGGGCAAGGTGGTGTGTTTTTTGGCACTTGTGCCTAGACAAACAATATAAAGAAATACAAACTGCAAATTATTTTAACATCAAAATCGTCGCGCTATCCCTTTAAAAATAATCCAGCTGAACTCATCCAAGCTATTCCCAAGCTTCAATCTGTTGCTCCAGCTAATTAAGTTTTAATTTACTCTACTGACTGTGCCACTGAGCCGATGAAACCTATATAAAAGTGATAACTAAGCAAGTGAGTTGATGCATCTTGTTGCAAACGAAGTGCCCTTGCTTAATCTCAGAGTACAAAAAAAAAATGCAGTTAATTATACATAATAGTTGCAGTTTTATTCTAAGATTTGCACTGCAAGGCAGAGCTGTTACATCAGCACTCACCAATTTTTTTTTTTTGTTTTTTGTTTATATAGTTTACACCTGCATGTATGATGTTGTGCTCTGGAGGAGTGCTTTTCCCTTAGCACACGGGTGCGCTGCGGCGAAGCAAAATACTCAAAATCGCGACGCCTACACTGCAGTAGTCCAGTCATTTCATTGCAGCGCACCAGGGCGCGGTGAGAGGCCCTCAACGAAGCTAACTAACCCGCCAGAACAGATCACGACCTTGATAAATATTGTGAGAATTTTTCGAGAATTCCAAGTACTGCCGGTGTTTGATACAGAGATCAAATCTGATCCATTACATTTTCGGGGTTAACAAAGTGAAATTAAGTTTCGGCACGATGTTGGCGCAAATTCGTCACCTTTCGGAGAAATGTAGCAGGGCAGGCATGTTGGCACAAATGACGAGCAATATCACATTGATGCAAATTAAAAAAAAAATAAAATAAATAAAACTGGGGAGCGCGTTGGAGGACAGCAGCTCGCGTCACATTGCCGTGAGCGGCGAAAGGGTGTAGCAGGCACCGCCACCGTTGGCTAGATGGCACAGATTGCCGCCCAATATAGCGATGCTCATTAGCATGCGTTAGTAACGACATGCTTTAAAAAAGAAAAAAAAACGTGGACCGCAAATTTATTGTGTGCGCGATCCGCGGTATCAGTTCCCGCGTCATGTGATCTCGCAGCGGGTGCCCGCATCTTTATCGCTCATCTTTTGATAAAATGTTGCTGTTGCATTACCGAGGCTCGCCAACCTGATATTTTTCACCGTTCATCCTTCATCCTGAGTGGGAGTTAATTCGGAATTTACGTAAGCACAAGTTCCGATGACTGTGATAACGATACTGGCATCTCGTTATCGGGGGTATCGGAACGCTCCACTAAAACTCTATTCCGCGATATCGCCAAAAGCTAGTGAATCAGTGCTGGCAAAACAAAGCGCGCAGGGAGCTCCCGCGCGGTCGCTTCTCCGCAGCGCACGGGTGCGTCAGGCGAAGCGCACCTCGGGGCCGTATCGTAGACTTTCGAGAAGATAACGAACACGAGTGATTCGTGGCCCGCGCGGTCAAACACCTTTGAATCCCAAGGGTGCTTCGAGAAATATCGTTTGCAGCATTTTTTTTTTTTTTTATTTTCTTCCGGCCGGCTTTTTTTCGAGGGGGGTGACGAATCACGCGTAAAACGACACTCTTTTTCTTCTTGTAATCGTGTTACGCTAATTTATGAGTCACGAGCTGTGCGTCTATGTGCCGACGTCCCACGTGCATCCGAGAGCGGACTAATCCGGCAATCGTGTCCCCAGCGTACTTACGCTGCCGAAGCGCCCCGTGTCCCCTTATCGCCGGCCGGGCAATCGCTCCCTCGTCGGTGTCACGTGACATCATGACGTCATGTGACGCCATAATGTCATGTGATGTCACGTGACGATTCATGACATCACATGAACAAAACGTGAGGGCGCAAGTGAGCTCGTGTAAGTTCGTAATTGTAGAATTACCCGAAACTGCGATGAGGAGAGGAAAAAATGAAAGCCATTTACAACTCCCTGTAACGCCGGATTAGAACGCAGCTCTTGAGGAGGAGGAGGGGAAGGGTGCCGAGGGGAAGATATATCCTTCCTCCCCCTCCTCATCCTGTCTGCCACTCCTCCCTCTGAGCGGCGTCGCCGTCGTCTCACGAGGGTCACGTGACCCCTATGAGGTCACGTGACGATGATACCATCAGTAACATCGCTAACGTCATCAGTGTCGCCACTGATGACGTCATCAGGAACGATGATGATGCAGATGTCGTCACCAATGACGTCATCAATGACGTCACGCGTCCCATAATGCACCGCGCGGTTACGCCGACGGCGACGGCGCTCAAGCCGGAAACGGGCGCCTGCGCTCTAAAAGGAAAGAAGCCTCAAAAACTTGAGAGTTCTTTCCTTCTTCCAGTTGCCTTTCTGTTGTCACCGCAGTCTCGGGTGATTACAATTATCACGTGACTTTGCTTCGTGACGGCTCTTCGTGAGTTTTTTTGTCAGTATTCGGCTAAGAAAACGGATTCAGCGTTAATAAATAAATAACTGCGCGTATTAGGAGACTACAATAGCATCACTTGGTGTAACAACATTTTGATCTCAGTCAGCAAGATGAACCCCCTGCTCGATTTTGAAACAAATATCCTCGCTAAAACAACATCACCCGTTCCCTTCGCGATAACAAAAGAACATGGGGCGGAAAGTAACAACAATTATTCTCAACAGTATTTACAGACTATATCTGGAATAACGCTAGAGCGATAACGATGCAACGAAGGCAGAGTACTTAACGACTGTTTCATACCCATCTAATGGTCTAAACCAGGTGGAGGTCTGGGGAAAGTTTATCCGAAAGTTAACATGGAGGTCAAGAGGGTGAAATCGACACGTTTTACGACACAAAATACTGCGCGATCGACTTGAAAATTTTATGATTCCATTTATTAAGATGCACGGTCAACCTTCTGACGTACACCTTATAGCTGCAAATCAACTGGCGTGGTCGAAAGGGGAATTGTTTCGCCGAGGGCATTGCGGTTCAGCAAGATCGGCCACTCTTCCGACACAAAGGATCTTACTGGATCCGTATCTTACTGGAACCAATCCGAGTTACTCCGCCGGATCATGCCACCTGACAACACAGACAGAACAATGCTGGACGACGTCACACGACTTCGGTGGTGCTGCTGCCGGCATGGCGCAGGCGCAGATGCCTCGTGCGAATTTGGTCCGGGGGCCAACGTCGGGCTTGTTTGCAAAGAGCGCGTCGGCGTGTGCTGCTGTGCTTCTCCTCACCTCTACCACGTGAGCATCGTAGTCTTCGAAGGCAAAGTAGACGTAGCGCTGTTCCGAGCACAGCCTCTTGGCCAGAGCATCCGCCAACTGCTCCAGGTCCAGGCACATCTGGTGCACCGACAGCAACGGGCCCTGCGAAGTGCACGCGACTCTCACAAACACGCCTGGGCGCCTAGATGCATACGCATATTGTGCGTGGAACGCGTTCCTGAATCTGTTCACCCAATTTTCCTCTTTTTGTATGTTTTTAGAAAAAAGCCGTGAAAGTTATATTAATGCAGTCTGTGGAGGCGAGTTATATGACCAGGAAGGGACATAATATAGGGGGTAATCGTCACGGTACGTCGAATAATTAGCAATATTTCGCTAATCAACGTTTTTTTTTGTTTTTTTTGGTGAAAATAAACACGTGGTTCAAACGAGAAACCGCCCAGTGTCATCGAAATCGACTAAATCAGTAAGTTTTCGAAAGGCCCGAAGCCCGTGGGAAAACACAGAGGAGCGCTAAAGTTACCACTCGTGGAGCAGGTGGAAGACTGGCGACGCGGAAACACACAGAACAAGAGAGAAAACCCGCCCGAGCGCGATTCCACATTAGCAGCTTTGAGCCTACTGCACGAGTGGTAACTTTAGCGCACCACAACGCTCCAAATCTTCTGACCTTTTTTCTTTTTCTTAAATTTTTTTTTTTTTTTTATATAGCAAGAGTGCACTTGGTCCCCCCGCACACACACTGTGTCGTTTCTGCTAGATTTTTGCAATATTCTTATTATTTATGTTTATATTTTTATTCATTTATATTATTCTTTGTTTTTTAATTTATTTTTATATTAAATTTTTATTTTTATAATTTATTTATTTATTTGTATTATTTATTAATTTATTTTATTACTTATTTATTTCCTTCGTTTATTTATTTGATTATTTATGTATTCTTCGCTTTCGTCCAAAACCTGCCACTGTCGCCGGCACTTTTCCATCCAAATAAAAACATCGACCCATCCATGCCAGCCCCCAGCGTGTACTCGTTCACGACTCGTTCGTGACGATTTTGTCAGAGAAAACGCCACAAGAAAAGGAGGACGTGGTAACGCTAGACACGGCGTCGCGTGCCTGCAAGACCGAGACTGGAGCACCAAGGGCACTAGCAAGAAACCAGTGCTGCACGCACGAAAAGATTACCGCACTTTCAAAAATATATGGTTATACCATCATCCCGCACACGATCGCGACGCGAGCGCTGCAGTGCACAAACGGCGGGAGCTCGACGGCGGCTGAAAAATGCTTCCGTCACTCGATGTGGATTCCCTGCCGACGGAAAGGAATTCGCTTCAAACGCTACACGTCCGGCAGTTGTGGCTACTGTTTACCAGTGCCGAAGACGCGTACCGACGCCCGCGGGGACTCCCAAGCATTCCACGCGCAGAACGCCACGCCGGCGGGCCGTGACCGCACTTCCGGCCGCAGGAAGCCGTTCCCGCTCGCGCGGAAGCGAGACACCGGAACTGCCGGCGGAGCCGAGGTCAGGCGCCCCCGACGGCTCCCAGCGACTTTGGGCCGAAACGAGCACCAAAAAACAATGAATGTCGCGTGCCGCGCGGCTCGTTCAAAGAGTCCACGGATATCCTTTTTTACAAATCGCCGGTCCGAGGAGTTTCGGGCGGAGAAGGTGCGTGCACACAACGAGCTCTGGTATCCGAGCCTCTCGTTGGAAAGCCAGTCATTCGTGGCAGTAGCATCTAGAAGACAAGACCATTGCGTCCTCGTTGTTGGATCTCTCACCCGCCCCCTCAAAAAGAGGGTACCGCAATGATTTCCCCCGGACAAGTTAGTTCAAATCACTGCAAAATGAAGCTTTCTCTCTCTCTCTCTCTTAATATTGACGTGCAATTTTGTTAATTTACAGAACTCAGCTGTGTTTCTGCGTCAATAAAAAAACTGCAATGGCTAGCATCTACTAAACAAACCTTTACATAATCGTAAATCGCGCGTAAAGATGCGGATGCGGGTTTTCATATATGTTAGTTCGTTGATAAAACATTTGTGAATGTGTCTCTAAAACGTGTTTACTTGACGTGTTTCGGAGCTTTTTTTTTTTTGTATGGAATTTTTTATTGTATTATTTATTATTATTGCGTGAACACGTTGTAAACCTTTTATAAAATGAATGAAATAATTTATCACGTATGTGCTTCGGTACAACATTGAGAGCCGCGCAAATTACCATATACTGAGACCTCGGCAATGTTAACGCCCCGAGCTTCTCCATTTTATATCACGGGAGAAAAATTAACTGCGGCGTTTACGTGCAGCTGAATGGTTCTCCCAACAACTAACTTTAAAACTAATAAAAAAAAAAATATGGCCCGGATTATCCTTGCATGAACTGATGTGGAAACATCCAATGCAGCGGCTGTTTCGAGCCACATATTAGAGAGTTTTCATAGATCGCTCGCGCCATCGAGCAACGCGCTCTAGAACCCGCTAGATCCAGCACTTTGCAGGCAAGGCTAGCGGCGCACATGCGCAATATAGTAGCGTCTTCGTCGTAGAGAGCGTAGTGAAAGGAGTTTATAGGAAACTGTCACTGCGACTCTTGCAGAATGCGCACCAGAAACGCTCGTTGGGCGAACACAGGCCATGCGAATTGTGGTCCAACGTCACGCGTTGGATCTCTGCGCACCGAGCTGTGCTTCCTGTACACATTGTTTGCGAGAGCCACACGTAATAAAGGTCGTCTTTCTCGCACCGTCCGGTGTCGTCGGAAAGTCCATAAAGTAAGCCATCAGAAGTTAACGATCAAATTACGATTGATTTTAAGAAACCAGCTCTCGCTTGGGAGGATTGATTCCTTTTTAAAGAAACGTAGACAGGTTGTCAGTATTCAAACGCCCACTCTGACGTGTGTGACGTGTCATCGGGGGTTCTCCAAGGATCCGTGTTGGGGCCATTATTGTTTTTAATATTTATGAACGACTTAATATATGGTGAAGATGTGCACGCTAGACTGTTTGCGGACGATTGTTTGGTATTTCTTGAAGACCAGACGGTCTCTGATCAAGAAAAACTAGATCGTTCTTTGGCCAAACTACGCGACTGATGTGCCACGTGGCAAATGTTTTTGAACCTTAAAAAGACAGTGTGCATGACCATCACCCACACACGTCAACCGCTACTGTTTCCCTATATATCTTAATGGTACCTTGTTAACTCGAGTGGAAGAATATAACTACCTAGGCGTCACTACAGCAAACGATCTTAGGGCTAATAGTAGGTTGGGTTTCCTCCGCAGATCCCTCAGACATGCGCCCGTTGAAACGAGGCTTTCAACGTATAAAACGTTGGTGAGACCCTTGCTTGAATATGCTTCAGAGGTATGGCACCCTAACCTAAACTATCTTGAACAGGAATTAGAAATTAAGCGTTGAACGCCTTGCCAGTGCGCTTTATATTTTCTAGATACCACCGCCTTCAGTCCCCCACACAGCTTTGTTCGCAAGCCGGTCTACCGTCGCTTACCAGCAGGAGAAAAACTATTGTAAGCAGTGAGAGAGTGCAGGCGAGCTGGTAATCAATCGACATCTTGTAAACCCTGAGATGAGTTGTTTCGGTTTGTTGTTTTGTTTGTTTTGTTGTTTGTTGTGTTCGTCCGTTTTTTTTTTTTTTTTGTTTTTTTTTATATCGTTTTTTATCTTAGGGTTTACAAGATGTTGAGAAAAACTAAGCGTCTAAAACTCCTTTATATATAGTTTTTACTGATCTTCTTTACATCGACGTAGCATCATATGTTACACCGCACCAGTTCAGAATTTAAAGAAATAAGCATAGTTGACATCTACAAGAATACAGATACAAGAGTGTTTTAAAAATTCGGTTTTTTTTTTTTTTTTCACGCACAATACGCGAGTGGAATGCACTGCCCGAAACTGTTGTGCCTTGCAGTCGACCCCAGTTTTTTTTTTTTTTTCTACATTGAGCGCGCTTCTTAAAATTTAGGTATGTACGAATGCAAATGACTGCTGTTTTACCCCTGCATATTCTGTATGAAGTTACTGAGCCTGCAGGTTCGAATTTGCCAGGGAGCGCCACCGTCGATCCGCCATCTTCGAGGTCGCGCTTTGACTGGCTTGGGTACGCTAAGCGGTCGTCCGCTGCTAGTGTGTGCTAATTTCATATCGTTGAAGATTCGTTGAACAGAAGAGAGAAAAGGGATTATCTCGGGGGCGGGCCGTTTTAGTTTCCTTGTTGCCGCCGAGTACCGTGTGTAAAGGCTGAACCGCATGTGAGCAATTTAGCGAGCGACGGGACGAGACGAGCCGCGGCGACAGCGACGAGACAAGCGACGACGACTCGCTTCGCTGTCGCTCGGTCACTCGCGCGACGAGGCAAACCGTATGAAAACGACGGGAGCAAGTGACCAAGGTGATTAGCGGCGTTTTCTAGAAATCCAAAAACCGAGCGACGCGACCACCGACCGTGAGAAATCGCCGACTCCCGTCGCTGTCGCCGTCACTCGCTACATCGCGGTTCACCGTTCACTGTCGCTCGTCGCGTAGCTCGGTTTTGGGATTTCTAGAAAACTTAGCGCTCATCGCCTTGGTCGTGTGCTCCCGTCGCTTTGATGCGGTTTGCCTCGTCGCGCGAGTGATCGAGCGGCAGCAAAGCGGCAGCGAAGCAGGTCGCCGTCGCTTGTCTCGCCGCTCGCCAAATCGCTTGCATGCGGTTTTTAGATTGCTTGGGCTAATGAAAAATGCGCCGCATTTTTCATAAGCTGCGCACTCTGAGCCGCACGGTATGTTTCTGCACAGGAACGAACACCGAAGGCACGACGTATGCACGACACAGAGGCGATGGAGCAACACAGTTGCACGGCCGTAGAGCAGAAAATCCGCTAGAGAAAAACAATAAAGAAACTAGCAAAACAAAGCAGAGTAATCACACCGTGCTACAGAAGCACCAAAGTAGAAAAATCAGTTCTCGCAAAAGCTTCGTGTCGCGCGCCGTGGGCACGGCGCGCGACACGGAGCGCTTCATGAAGCCGAGGGAGCAACGCGGCCGCGGTGAACGAGCCCGACAGCGGCAAAAACGAACTAAAACACACAAAAAATACTCCTACGGCGCTTGAAAAGCACCAAAGTATAAAAATAACCCCTAGTTTCGGTCAAAAAGACTCTTTAAAGATGTAAAATGCTGCTAAACCACGACCGGGGTGGGCGATGCCAGCGAACCTAGCGAGTGACGTCAAGTGAATGTCACCTATATAAGGGTCCTAAAGTCAGGACTAATAGTGCGTGAAATAAATAAACGGGGGGGGGGGGGGGGGGGGTTATACCGCCCAGACATCTGAACATTCATAAACCTCCGTCGAAGACAAACACGCGAGTACAGACAGACTAAAAGCATCCCAGTGCACTCTTTGCTCTTTTGGATGAGCCGATGGATGAGCACGCACAGAAAGACGTGTGATTGTGTGGGCAATGTAGGTTGGAAGAAAGGAGGCAGTTTGATACTTTAAACCCACGTTACGAATAATAATAAAAAAAAAAAAACAGGGCGCGGAATGGTTATGCAGGGTGTGTGTTAACCCCTCGCCCCCCGCTTGCGTTCACACCGCTTCGCAGCGAGTCCGCGGCTGCTCATTACAGAACTATTAAACTTTGGCTATACTTCGTTTCAGCTTCGGTTCGAGCGCGGCCGATGTTATGAGCAGAAGGGCCAATCAAACAGCGAAAGAGGTACAATGTCATGGGGTGCTCTCTGCAGTTGATAGGACCAGCCGGTATTCGCCGTCTCTCTGTGCGTGCTCCTCCGCCGGCTAGTCCTATCAAGCGCAGAGAGCACACCATGACGCTGCGCTTTTTGCGCTGTCTGATTGGCCCTTCGGCTCATAACATCGGCCGCGCTCGGACCGATGCCATGGTGGCGGCGATGAAAGCAGACAACCTTTAAGCTGCGGAAGAACACTGTGGCGCAGCGATACGGGGTGCGTGCTGAGGCCCTTCCCGCATGCTTTTCAATAGGCCGAACGCAAACAAAAAGGGTCTGAAATAAGGACTTAACGCAGAAGGCTGGTTTTCTTCAGCGCCTCATGATTTGACACGGACACCGAAACAAATAGGCGCAAGGTCAGAGCGCAGTCGCTGTGCTCGATCGGTTTCGCCGACGATTACGAGCACCGTGACGGAGCGTTTTTCAAGTTGCTCGATTGGCCCTGTCGGCTCGTAGCGTGGGCTGCGCTCTAACGTGAGCTGAAACCAAGTACACGGCAAGCGAGTGTTCCAAAGTGCGTCTTCCGCGCATCGGAACGCAAGCACGCCAGTCACAGGACAAGGTAGAGGACGCGCAAGGAACGCGCCATGACGAGGCAGCCAAGCGCGCGCCGTTGCGCCGCGAAAATCCAATGTCCTTGGCGCCGACCAAATATATATCTGCCCAGGGGCGGATGCAGGAATTATCTGAGGGGGGGGGGGGGGGGGGGGGGG